AAAAAAAAAAGGATAAAGAAAAGGAAGATAATAAACCTCATCACTCCAACCAAGTAAAGTTCGAGTTCTTTCCTGAATTGTATCACCCAAAAATAGGCCACCGCACTGCACTTTTGCAGGCATTATTTGATTTCGTTTCTTTAAATTCCAATATTTCGTCAGATTAAAAAGTAATGTAAAATTCTGAAAAAATAAATTTTCAATACTGAGAAATTAGGTTATTTCGTAATTAATTAATTATTTCGCAGAAAAAGAAATGATATGAATATGAAATTGTAATGCTATTACAAATATTAACCGGATTATTAGCATTATATAGTAATCCGGTTGATATAAGTGATAGTATAGCAGAGAAAGGGAAAATTATGTATGTGATAATTTTGGTTGTAAAATTTGTCCATTTATTAGTGTGACAATTAAAAATGCTATTGTTTAAATAAATTTTAAACATTAAATTAGAACTATTTATGGATTAATTTAATAGGAATGTAATGAAGGAAGATAAGTCATTCATACATTTAATAGTAAATTCAATAATTTAAAAGTGATTTTTGGATAAGTGCGAATGAAAAGGAATATTCTCGAAATGGTTATTTCATTTTCGAGAGTAATTTCATATGACATATGACATCAGCTGAGAAATAGCACTATCGTAGATATTCAGGTTAACACACAAAAACTTATGCTAATCGAATGTTTATGGTGATTAATAGTACCATGATCGAAGTGTGTACTACGACAACAACTACTAATTACTACTACTATTACTATTACTGCTACTGCTACTACTACTACTACTACCACTACTACATAACAACAACAACAACTACTACCACTACTACAACTACTACTACTACTACTATTTCTATTACTACTTCTACTACTGCTACAACTTCTACTACTACTACTACAACAATAAAAGCAGTAGCAAGAGCAGCAAAATTTTCGGGTGCCAGCCTGAGCCAACCTATAGCCGACATTATAGCCCCTCCCTTCTACACCTCTCTTCTTTGATTATTGAAATTGTCAACCCCCCCCCCCTCCTCATCCCCGTCTCTCCTCATTCCTTATCAGCGTGCTACATAACAAGATTCCAAAAATGCTGTTGAATTGAAATGAGTTTCGGAAAAGAAAAGAAAAATCTGTTAGAAAATATCTAAAATAGTCTATTATTATCATACACTTTCACTTATCATTTTATCATATCATACAAATTATTTCATCTGTTACAATCATTTCCTGTTATTAAATATAGCAAAATTGATTAGTTCTTAAGAAATATTTAAAATGAAATTAAACGAATCAAACAAAGATAAGATTAATTAGTAATTAAAATAATAAGAAATGATTTATAATTGTTATATTAAATCAAATTTTAGCGCAAAAAAAAAACATAAAAAGATCAAAAAATATGATATCAATGATTAGTAATGTAAAAAAAAAGGAGTAATAAATTCATATTAGTAATAGAAATAATTAATATGTTAGGGAAAGATTTAGAAAATACATTTAATGATCCATTAGGTAAAAATAATCATTAAAATAATTAATTCTTGAAGCGATGACATGCTAAATAATTTAAATTTAAAACAACTCATGGATTTGCTCAAATGACCTTCAAATGACCCTAAATATACAACTATATCTAACTTGTAATTACTTTAGCTTCAAATGATCGGACAGATAATTAACTTTAGTAATAGTAATAGTAATAATAATTCTCATAAGTAGTTGATAAAAAAACAGATCATTTATGAATGACGTATAGCTACGTGACATAAATGTCACATAAATGTCAACATATGATGGTACAATTTTTCGTAAATATCTTATCACCTGAAATATTTCTAAGATCAAACAGTACTACAGTGATGGTGACACTTATAAAAGTTAACTTCCATTAAATTTTTCAATAAATGAATGATTATTATTGAATTGCTTAGTATTATCAATCCTTACTGAATGAACAATGAATATGCTTTTCCCCAATTTTTTTTCCTTTTTTTTTGTTCCGAATTAATTATTCCGCAATAAGCATTCAATTGCACAGTGCGGAATGGTTCTAAATTAAAAGGTAAAAGTAATATTTAGGAAATAATGGTAAAACAGAGTTCAATTATTATTGCCAGACAAATAACCAAGCAAATTTGTTGATTTTTCCGCTTTGCATTGATTATTTTCTAATGGATGCGGAAGTGATAAACATTGAATATCTTTTAAGTATATATTATATCCTAATTTGATTAATAAGAAGCAAAACCCTGAAGAGTAACAACATGCTCAAATAATTCCTGGGATTGACAATTTATGCTCATTCCAGCAAAACAGGTTAGGTAGACTTTTTCGCCTGTTTATAACAGATCATTCTACAACACATGGTAGTACCGGGGTGCAGCCAGTCACAGCTGTCTCCAAGGTCACTTGCACCTGCTGCATAACTCCCTTTCAATCCTCTCTCCCTTTCCGCTCCTTCCAACCTTTAAGGACTACTTCCTACAAATATTATATATCATATGCGTTCATCTTCTCACTCATCATCATGATAACTACCAATCATTACTGCTATTACAAGTACACAGACAGACAGACAGACAGACAGACAACACACACACACACACAGGGAAATATCGGATGTTATGATGATACAGTAATCATGTTCTTCTCTTAGAAAATATTCCGGATTTCATAGTACGGAGAGAAAGAAATTATCAATGAGGTTATCAGTACGGTACCCGGTTAAGCAGCATAATTATCCATGAATTGACCTCGCCATTTGAACTGATTTCCTAATTGTATTAATAGCAATTCAGAGTTAACATTCATTGACATTGACCAGAGTGGGGTGATTTGTCCCAATTTGAAAGAATATAGCTATTATTTTATGGAAGATCAACTGGCCGGTTTACTTCTTCCTGATCCGTAAAGACAAGAATAGAAGGAATCCGTAAAGAGTAGAATAGGAGGAGTCATCTATATCTAAAAAGGTATAGTTTATGGTAAATGCGGTTTGATAAGAGTGAAATGAATGGGACACATACACACACATACACACATACACACATTCACTCATACTAACCTTGAATGCTCATTATCAAACAAGGAATAGATGAGGAAACTGGAAGTGCAGGGAAGGCAAGGATGACGGATCATTTCATCAGTATTTCGTGACAGCACATAGGTGACAATTGTACAACCTGGTACAAAACATTTTCGCTTCTTCTTTTCAAGCTCTGTCATACGAATGTGACGCTTGTTCGATGACAATCAGCGCTTTTTCCTTGCTACTACGATAGCAACAACAACAACAACAATAATAATAACTATTACTACTACTACTACTACTACTATTGCTGTCACTACGACCGCTTTTCAT